TCTTTCAGACTTACTCCTAAATTTTTCCTGTTTCACCCCAATAGTCTCTCCTTCTAACATAAATAGGTAAGATGGTAATTCAGCAGGCTTACAAAGAGGAGAGGCAGTCACCATGAAAGGCTGCATGGAAATAAAAAAAAGCTGTTAGAACACTTTTTTTGCCATATTTGCTCCCACAGTAGGTGCAAATATTAGAACCTCTACAAAAATACCATGTACTCTCTTCTGAAAGAGAGAACATGCTTCAAACATGCTTACTGAATCACGTTAAAATAACAGCTTGTATAACTCAATTCCCGTAAGCTCAGCTGCAAATACCTTATCTCTTTTGGCTCCAACAGCCTCATGGGTCACATTTTGTGCAAGCACGTTCACCTGCTCCTCCAAATAGAGGAGTAAAGACACAATAAAGTATCAAGTCCGATACAAATCAGATACAGGTACATTTAAGGCTTTTGTTACCTTTCACAGTTAGGATTTTTACAGATTAGAAACTGAGGCACAGAGACTTACTTTTTGTTTATTTTGGAGTATTTTTCAAGACACTATATTAAATCTATGGTAATGCAAGGTTTTTGGTGGGGAGGTTTCTCAACTTCTGTAAGACTCTGGCCAAAAAGTCTGTGTACATTTCTCAAGGTTCATCTCTCAAACTGTTATTGCCATACAGGTGATTTCTGTGTGTATGCCTCTCCTGTTTCATAAACCTATGTGGACTTTTTTTAATGCCTGTGTAAAGTATGCACCAATTCAAATCTGTCCTTTCCAAAACTGAAATTATCTTTTCTATTTCTATACTGTTATTATGGCTAATCATTTCACTTTACAAAACACAAACAACGGAGGTACGGACCCTGGGAAATGAAAAGCTGGAAATCACTGAAATGTCATTTTGTTTGGCACAAACTTTTCCTTGTATTGGAATTACCTAACAGTTTAAGAATACAAAAAAACTACAAAAAATGCATTCTTTAGTTACAAATTCTGCAGTTCTGACTACTGCCTCGTAAATTTAAAGATACTTTACCTGCATTTAATTTTTACAGAATTGCTGTTGCGTACTTTCTTTATCAGAATTATGAGTTCTACAGTAGTTTTGAAAGACTTCTGATTCTATAATTATTTTGAGGCATACTCTGCTAGCGTCATTGAAAAGGAAAATACAGAAAAATTTCTCAGTGAAAGGTATTAGTCACTTTGTACTTCAGCTGATCTTCAATGGAGATATTCAAACCCAGTTGGACATTGTCCTGAGCTACCTGGTCCAGCTGACCCCGATTTGCACACGGAAGTGGATTAGGTAACTCTGTGATTTTGTGATTTTTTTTTTATTCTTAATGATTCACTTGGATGTAGCTAGAGACCTCACTAACATCCAAGGTCACTTTAAGCTAGTGGGTAGAAAGTGATAGTGTCCCATTAAAAAATCTGTTATGCAATTCTAGACCAAGCTGAGATTTTAATATCCTCTACCTTGTGTAATTACAGTTACTTGATCAAATGTTTCTATAGTATTTCCACATATTTACCAGTTGCACCAATTATTAGAATTTTTTTCAGTTGTGCAACAGTAACAAATTCTGCTTTGTTTAATGCTGTTTTGCTGTGGCAACAGCAAAGAATACAGGTGCAAAAATCTATAGAAATTGGAGAGGAAGAGCAGAGGGGAAAAGAAATTTGAACTCCTAAGAAAACAGGGAGGGAAAAGAAGGCTCCCATGACACTACTTCCTGAAAGACACCCTGATTTTACAGCTTGGGAAACTAAAACACAGCATGACTAAAAGATTCAGCAAAGACTGTACAGTTAACCTGAAGTGACCTCTGGGAGCCCATACTACTGAATGAGATATTTGCATACATCCCTAAGTATTACATAGCGAAAATAAGGCATGAAACTTATTTCCAAATTTACAGCAACATTAAAGATTTCATCATCCCAAGTGATGCTAATTCAATATCCCCGAGAAGAGACCATAATGCAGCTAAACTATGAAAACTAAACTTCCTTATGAGCTATGTAGGAGTCTCACTGCTGCCAAAATGAGAGGGCCATAAAAGGAAGGCCGTATCATTGCTACTTGTGCTTTGAGTGCTTTCAATATGTAGTTCTATGGGTAATTTTTAATCTAGAAAAACTTTCCCACCATTAGTAGCTGCATGCATAGGAACAAAGTGTACAAGTGCACAATCTCTGATTCGGATTTTTATTCAATTTTCAGCAGAATTAGGTCTGCCAATTGTGTTTATCTGACTATGGCTTTAAAAGCAGCTTTGAGAGCTTGAAGGTCATCAGCCACACAGACTTCCAGCCATGCTTCATCACTCCTCACTGGCATACTTCTTGCTCAAAGGAGCTAAGACACGGATGGGGACTCAGACCTTCACACAGGATAGCAATCTACTCCATTTCAATAAAATTACATTTGCATAAAGTATATAACAAAACTGGGAGAATCAACTGACTTTTCTTTAGTGTTCTGTGTGTTCGGATGGAGCATTGCAAAGAACTTTGGCTTTTTTCCATTTAGAAAGGCTTTAGCATTGCAAGACATACAGAGAACAACAGGCAGTACGGTAATCAGGAGGAAAAAGCTACATTATATCTGGACTACATAATGGTTAAATAATAAGAATCCATGGCATCTCCAATTTGCAGCAATAAATCTCAAGCTGATTTGTAAAAGTTAGATCTCTTATTATCCTGACTTTCAAAGAAAAAGTCTTGGTAAAGGCTAGAACCTAATCAACAGAAATTGACTGTAAATTGCTTTGTCCTGTTCTACCCACTAACCTCCAATGCTCCCTAAAGAGATTTGTTCTCTGTAACTTTTCATAGCATGTAACCACTGAGAGAGAGGAAAATAATGTATTCAAGTGAGGAGTAGTAGCCGGCAACTTAACTCAAGAAAATTAGGCAGAACATAAGGAAGCACTGTCTTAGAGATCTAGTCTAAAACAGAATGGCGCCTTTGAGGGACAGAAATATATTTCATGCTATGCTAACATGCACATCTTTTGAGGAAAAATCCTACTATGCCACTTTGATAGTGGACATATTTATCTGGATGCCATGTTACATCTCTTTTTTCTGCTTCCTCAAGGCGTCTTTTGATTGATATTTTGCATTGCTTTACAGATGATAAAATCAGTTCCCTGTCAGCACTGATTGTTTTACACATTTAAATATAAGACCACTAAAACATTTTAGCATTATGTGGTGATGACAGGAAAAACAGAGGAAAGTGGTGCTTTTAAAAAGAGAGATAGGGGAGCTTCGTCAGACCTGATACAAAACTGAGGCTGATTAGAGCTAAACTAGTCTGAGTCCCAAGTCTGATCTTGTGTTCACTGGTAGTAGAGAACACAAAGCTCCTGGTGTCAGCGCTGTATGAACTCTCTGATAAATGCTGATAAATGGCAGGAGGTTCATCTATAAATAATGGGAGCACGATACATGGCTGATTACTTACCTTGACATTTCGGATATGGGTTACCAAAAAGTCTGATGATGCAAAGGCAGGAATCAACAATAAAATACAAAGCAATAGATGGTTTTCCATTTTGGAAAAAAGTAAGGTTCCAACCTGAACGATATGCATAAATATATAATGCTTTGTTTACTGAGTGTTAATAAATAACCCAGCGTGAAAAGTGGGATTAAACATTAGGCATTTGGGAAAAATCAAATACTGAATTTTGAATTTGCATAATCTGCAGAATATTGTTACAAAATACTGTTACAAAATGTACAGAATATTTCAGCAATGTCTCTTCTATGTAGTATCTCCAGGCAGAAACTCAACAGCCATTTCTGTACAGGCAACTGAGAGTGAGCTCCAGACTCACCTCTTTTCCAAACGAAAACCATCCCCTTTCTGATACCTTCTTAAGGCTGTCCCTGGCTCAAATTTATTGCAGCCATAACAGAGCTTTTAGTCTCTTAAACCCATTTATTCTCCTCTTCAAAAACAACCTCCTGTAATCCTGCATATCACTCAGATACCCAATTTAGGTATCATTATCTGACACATGTCCTGACTGGTACAGAAACTTCCTGTTACATGCTTTCCTGTCCATCTTCATAGCTGAAACCCAGACCCAAGCTCCCAGGGTCTTGCATGTTGCACAATCAATACCCATTCAGCCTGCTGCTGCAAGGCCCACTTTCTTTATTTGTTATCTTGACAGCATTAATTCTCTATCTTTTTAACTGCTTTCATCTCCTCCGTTGCATGAAACACAAACTTTGAGGACTGGGAGTTAAATGCTGAGTGGTAATAAAATACTCAAGTTTACAGAATTTAGGGTATTTTTTTTCCTGCAGTCAGCTCTCTGAGGCACGCAGCCATGAGAGGGACACAGGATAGGTCCAGGAGCTCCTTTTCAACCAGTCTGGAGCTTTTAAACTAATTTTCTGCCCCATCCAAAGGTGGCAGGATGGCTGCGTAGAGCAGCTGTGCTCTGCCAGGCCTCCCCAGCCACCTCACGACCCATGGCGCACGCAGGGTGGTGGGCCTTGTTGGGGTGCTCTGGGGTATTGCGGCACATCTGCCCGTTTGGCTGCACCGCGTCCCTCTCCCTTCCCTTCCCT